CAGAAGAACCAGAGCTCTCCTGAAAGGTACAACAGCCATCCTCAGCAACAGTGAGGTCCCAAGCTCCTCCGATGATCAAGGAAGCCAACGCAGCAAGCTCCTTCAGGAGCCTGACCTGTGCACCTTCTTCCCCTCCGGAGCCAGGAAGCGATGCTCAGAGTGAGGACAGAGCTCCCCCAAAGTGAACCAAAGCTATTCTCAGTGCCAACGAGGTCCCAAGCTCCTCGGAGGATGAAAACAGCCAAGTTCATCAGGAAAGCTACCATGACAAGGTCCTCCAAAACAACCAATAGCTCCTTACAGCTTCCACCAGCTCCCAACAGCCTTTCTCCGCTCCCAATAGCGTCCTTCTCCTTCTCCAGTTCTGCCTCTTGTGCTGCTGGCAACAGTCCCCAGGTGGGCCTCCTACACTCAGCACCACGCTTACTCAGTTCATCTGGGGTTGTAAGTTGACCACCAGTTGTCAATCCACTACAATATACTATAACCTCTCACATGCTAAGTCATATGAAAAGTCCAATATTCAAGCTTTTCCATAATACGTTATGAGAAAAAACAAAAATAGTGGTCTTAACTACCTATTTACAGTAAAACCACCTCTTTGTAAATGTTTTCAATTATTTTGTACTGAAACTTGAGTAATTTACCATATTGATCCATTTTTACAGATGGGAAGCTAGGGACAGGATATTAAATTTCATACCAAGATTCACACTCATGACTGGAGCTCATTAGACACACTATGGTACCCTCATAAACAGGATGGGGCCATAATCCTAAGGGAAGTAAACCCCAACACACAGGCTTAAATAGCGCATGGTTTCTCTTATATGAGAAATTCAAATAAAAGACAGATAATAAAAATAAAAGATCAAAATAAAAGACAGATAATAGAAAATAGGTAGACAAATGTTTCACAAAAGGGAAGGGACTGAGAGATGGCAGAAATGAAAAGAGAACCAAGAGTACAAAGTGCACGCACGAAGGCCCCAAGAGGAGTGTCATCATTATGCACTGCAAACATGGACTAAAAAAAAAAGTAAAGATTGAAAAATTTGGCCTAAACCACAGTTCACAGCACAACATCTGTACTGAGCTCTGAGTGTATTCACAGTGCTATTTAAATGATACTTATCTGTCTAACCCTAGCCTCCAACTCCAACTAACCATCACTTAACTACGAATGCCTCTGTGATTGACTCACCTTTGAACAATTCAAATTTCAAATAACCAGTTTTAGCATCTGGTTGACTTTCATTGAGAGAGAAAAGAAGGAAAACTATAGTTTGACCCATTGGAAACTATGAATGTTTACGTTAATAGTGTCTTAGTTGAGTGGTCAACAGACCCTAAAACTTGCTGTATTGTTTAGTTGTTTGATCAAATCCTCACAATGTACTACTCAAATACTCTTCCTTTATTAAAGAGGAAAACATTTAGATGGTAAAACAAATTAAAGGGTCTATGGGGGCTGGGGATTTAGCTCAACGGCACAGAGCCTGCCTGGCAAGTGCAACGTCATGAGTTCGATTTCCGATACTGGGAAAAAAACCAAAGGATCTATGAACATAAGATGCATATTTAAGATTCTCCACCATATACATGATTGTATTGCTTATGTGGCTTCAAGAAAACTTAAAACTCAGAGATGACCTGACTTGTGCTATTACATGAGGCTCTTTCCCTTGGCCTCAGGCCTTAAGTGGCCCTTCCCTATCCATACAGTAACTCTTCAGGGTCTGTCTGGTTCCCAGCCTCAGTCTTATGATAAGGTTCTCTGGCTGCTTTATCAATGTCCTTAAGCCCAGCCCTCTATACTCTGGAAAGCTAAGACTAACTTAACTTATTTAGTATGATTATTATACTTGGTTTAAATGGTAATTTTGAAAGCTTTAATTTGAATGGTACAAAGCATTATGTTAGTTTAAAATATCTATTCTATAATAATATTCTTTCTTACCAGTTTTAATAACTGCACTGATTTTTTTCCACTCCCATTCTCCAGCTCTATAGCTTATAATTTTGAGCTGCCAGATTAATATCTTTAACATGTGAGATCTCATTATTTTTCCATTCAAAACCTTCCAAGGCTTTATAACCTCAGTCATAACAAAATCTGAAATCCTAGTCAGGGTCTTCAAGGTACTACACAACATGAACTCTCACTACCTCTCATGTAAACTTTTTCTCTTCCCTTGTTCACTGAGCTCCTACCACAACGGCTTTGCTTCCTTGTGACTATCCGAATAGAGCACACAATGCCTACCGCGGGATCTTTGCACTCTCCTGTCCTGGCTGGCTTTTCTGTTCTTCTGTCTGCTTAACTGCCAGGACAGCCACTCTTGGCAGTCCTGTCACAGCATCAATCTTCACTACTGCCTATCCCCTATGCTGCCTTGCTTTGCTTCATAGTATTCACCTCTTGGCCACTGGGAGACAATTTTCCACGGGTCTTTTGCTTCTACACATTTTATAAGCCAGGTACTAATGGCCCTTCTTTTCTGTACTATCTTTTCAAGGAGGACTGTAAAGTAAGTAGCCTTGGTAGATGCCAAAGTAGTTCTCCAGAGCACAGCGCGGGCACATCTGCTGTCCATGTGAAAACACAGCTTCTCTAAGCTCGGAGTTTCTCTTCTGCAACGCAGCCACGAAGCACAGGTCCTTCAGGTTTTCTCCTGGTTCCCTGTGGGAACCAGGACTAAGGAAATAAGCACAATGCCACGGCTATGGGAGCCATACAGCTTCAGCCACAATCCACAGACCTGTGGCAAACTACAAGGAGGGCAACATCCCAGACCTTCATCATTCTCCACGATGTCCTTATCTATTGTTTTTCTCTTTTTCTCTTTGTTTTTTTCTGACTAATCTTTCATCTACTGCTCTTTCATATCCCTATAGCGATCAAAGCACTTTTACAAATAGTGTCTCGCGACCTTTAAAAATCCCTAGAAAGCATTTTCTATTCTATTTAATTAGAAAGACACTGACCTAGGAAGGGTAAAAAACAAACTCAAGCTTAGCATTACAAATCAGCCATAGAATAGTGACTAGAGTTTCAGGTCTAATTTTTAACTTGTGTCCTACACGTATGTGCTTCCTAGAAGGTAAATACTAACATGTTGTACATCTATTCTCTGCGATGGAAAGAAATCACCATTAGTATTAGACGGCAAATTCCTCATATGCTAATACATAAAAATAAAACATAGTAATCACCAATAAAACAGTACTCATTAGCACCTGCAACGTATTAAAATGTATACATTCTTCCCGTATACATTATGACACATGAATGATCATGAACAAAACTAGATCCTGCTATTATACCAATGACCCTAAAGGAAGATGTATTGAAACAATCACCAAAAATGTTTTCCTTATAATTTTTCTTATTTGCAAAAATCTAGATTGCTCTAAATGTAAAATTTATTAGTCAGAAAAGGTTCCAGATAATTTAAAGTTTTTTGTACTACTCTGCAGGAGAATGAAGTATTTATCATTTTTTTCTCTTAAGTAATTTCAGCAAAAGTCTCATAGAACACTTGTGTGTAAGTAATTTATAAGTCATACCTTGCTACTTGCAGAAAAACTGGAAAAAATGCAAAAACTAAAGTGTGGGAGACTATTAGACTGTATATACTAGAAAAGTATCAAGCTAGGTAATAAAGTACCTGATTTTAAAAGCCCTGTATCTCTGGGAGAAACTGCGGCCCTGTCTTTTGTATAAAAGGACATCAACCAGGGCACTTCCATCTTAAACTCTAGTCTACCCTAGGCTCCCCCTACCCCTTACACCAGACTTTCAGGAAACACCTATTCATTTTAAATTCTGAGAACATAGCTGCAAACCAAAGACAGCTTATCAGGCTGGGGATATAGCTCAGTGGCACAAGCGCCTGCCTGACAAGCATGAAGTCATGAGTTCAATTCCTGGCACACACACACACACAAAATACAAAGCTTATCAACAGCCAAGGACTTTCTGTTCCCAGCTCTTCCTCGCAGCAACCCTTTGGATCCTCCCCTTATGTCACTCAGGCACTTAAACTAGCCAATCGTGACAGAGTGTACACCTTTGAATTCAGCCAATGACGTTAGAGGACAGCTGCTTCCCGTGCATGAAGGCTTATACATCCTGGTTCCTGCTGCTTGGCACACCTGCCGCCTCACGTCTGAGTGCACTTGAACCCTTCTGCACAAGTAAACTTGCCTTGTGGAGCTCTCCTGCTCACTGTCTGAGCGCATTCTTTCTGGCACCAACAATTTTAGTCCGGGGGCTCACTTCCAACATCGCCAAGTAAGACAAATCTACTGAAGCAGTAACAGGTACTAATTTACTGTTCAGAGCTCCAGTTGCTTAGATATCGAAATCTGGCACTATATAGTACATATCCCACCTACAAGGTTCAAAAGTCATGAAATCTGTTTTCAGATATTATATTTCACAAATATAGATTGTTATGGTTTGTGTCTAGATGTCCTCCCAAAGCCTCAAGCACTTGGGGGTCGGGGCAGTTCAGAGGTGGCTGAATCCAGAGTGTGTGATGCTGGGATTAAAGGTGTACGATCAGTTCATTGCCAGCTTGGTACCGCCCTAATCCTAGCAGCCTGGATAGAACAGAAAAGGGGCAAAAAGACCTTGTTAAATTCAGCTGTTGGTTTTGCTGTCTTCTTTCGCCCTGCACCACCCTGCCTTGAAGCCAGCCAATTCTGGACTGAAACCTCTACAGACTATGAGCTAAATAACCTTTCCCCCTGAAACTTCGGGTGTCCGGTAGTTTGTCCCAGAAAGGAGAAAAGTAAACAAGACAAAGATAAAACACTTGTCACTAGTCAAAAATTTACCATCTTCCAAAGTAAACACAATCAAAGGAAAATTGACAAAGAACTAAGACATTTTAAATAGGAAAACAGAACTAGCTTAACTAGATTACTAAGGTTAAGAGGCTGCTTTATAATGTGATTGTCTCATTGTAACTCGATTACTACCTAACACTTACCGTGTATGTTATAGCTGCCAACATCCCGATCAGGGTGAGAGAGCTGATGGAGAAGGACAGTGCGGCCAGCCCATCTGCAGGGAGGGAAACACTGTTATGAGTGGACACGTGTATCCCCCAAGTGTTCACACTCAGCCAGTCATACAAGATACAAGTCACTCATTGCTCACACATTCTTAAGGAGTCAAATAAACATAAAACCATGTCTTTGAAATGTTAACTCCAAGTACAGAGATATTAAAGGGCTCTTTCACAAAATCATTTATGAAAGATCTTTCATACCAGCTAAGATTCTTCAGCTCTAAAAATTAGGAGGAAAAGTACTGTTGGGTTAACGGGCCAAAAAAGAGATACAGGAACTATCAGGTACTCAAGGAGTGATCTAACAAACTGCCCGGGCTTTCCCAGGGGCAGAGTCTGGGAAGTAACAACACGCAGGAAAGCCACAGGTCCTCACTCCTCCTTCCCTCCTCGATCAGCCCTGATACACCCAGTCCTTCTTTGAAATTTTCAGATAAACCTGTAATGTATGGCATGAAACTAAAATCTTAGAGCTTACTTCACTTTTCAACTGGAAAGGATTAGATTGCCTATTTAACATACAAATAAAAGCAAACACAAACAGAAAATAGTTTCAAAAGTAACAACAAAAACAGGAACACTTTGCTAACAAGTAGGGTTTATAACATTATTTAAAAGAAAGCCATGAATAAGGAGCTGAAGTGGCACACAAATATATCAGATTACAAAACAAACTACCATGAACATCTGACCCATGTTAAATGAGAGTAAAAATATTTGTAGGTTTAATACAGATCTTGTTGGGCATGTATTGACCTAGTATAGATGTAGTTCCTATGAGACCTAGTACAATGTTCTGATTGAATTAGTAAATATCTTCATGAATACTAATAAAACTATAGATCTTCTTAAAGCTCATGTCTCAGATTTATATAACACATAAAAAGAGCATACTAACAAATTCACAAGTTGTGTAAAACATTTTTAAGCTGTTTTTATTTTTTGGTTTTTTTGAGACACAGTCTCACTAGACAGTTCAGGCTGCCCTTGAACTCAATATGTAAGCCAGGCTGGCCTCAAATTGGCAGAGATCCTCCTGCCTCAGTCTCCTAAGTGCTGAGCTTATAGGTGTGTAATTTTTTAAAGTTTTTAAAAGTATATTTTAAAATTGTATTTTATCAAATCAAAGACATTTTGATGCTGTTACTTTTCTGCTCTAACAGCAGTCTTAACAAAAGATAATGTTCATACCACTAAAATATCTCACTGACAGTAATTTTAGTACCATCATTTATAAAATACATATTAAAAGCAGATATATAAGAATATAAACAATTATGTCTTAGAATTGATAAAATGAAGAATTATGCTAACATTTTAGCCAATCAAAAACTTAGTAGTATTAACAGTAAAAATCAGCAGAACCAAAGATTCAAAGTTAATCTTTAATGATTATTCACATTTTTTGAAAGAATGACATGAAAGATACTAAAAATAAATTCTCTTAATAAAGCAGGGCCCATGATGTGGGCATACACCTAAATAAATTCTATTGATACAAAGGTGTGATACAGTCTTAAAATGCATCTTTGCTGCACTAAAAAGGAACCAACTACTTACACAGATTTTAAAACATTATTCAGTGAAAGGGGCCAGATATGCTCAAAAATACAATTATAAATATACCAGCAAAATTATAACTGTGCTATCTCATCTGCAAAATATTAACCAAATAGGCAGACTGAGGAAATTTCTGTAGTGAGGGATATGTAGATAAGTTGCACACTTTTACTGATCATACTGATTGTACACATGCACATATAAGATGCATGCCTTTTGCTTCATGTAAAAACTGCATAGTTTTTAAAAATTAAATATACTAGATGCCTAAAAAAATTCAAGGAGATAGAAAAGACAAAAATACTAAAAATTAAGAATAGTTTCTGGACATAAAAAGTAGATCTTGAGGGATCAGTGAAATGTATTCTAGAATGTGGTTTTTAAGATTTGAGACTATGGATGGATAGATAGAGACAGATATATAGATACTAAAGAAACAGAGAGTACAAAAATCAGATTATTATTACCTACCTAATCATTGATTCAAATCAAGTAGTATTGATGGACTAGTATAAATTATGGAATAATGTCTCAGGTAGAAAAATAGTTACTTGAAAACCTGAAGGAGTTAACTGCTGGAAAGGAAGCTCTCTATTTCTCAGCAATAGGGTCAAGCAATACAAATCCTGATAATTCAACAGTAAACACCAATCCTGCTATCCTTATTCTTACTGGAAAGCAAGAAAATTTAGAAGAAAATTGTCTCAGCAAGAAGCAAGAAAACTGACCAAAGAATGTATAGTACCTATTAGAAAAAATATTCACAAAAGCAATGTATTTTTTCAGTGTAATGTATTTTAAACATAAACATTCTAGGTTTTTTTGAAGATCCATTACAGTGTCAAAGTGTTCATGAAATTTTGAGTCATAGTATGCAAATATAAATATAAAAACATATGTGTGCGTGTGTCTGTGTGTGTGTATTTTTTTTTAAGGCAGGGCCCCTCAGTATGTAGTTGATGCTGTTCTTGAACTCACTACATAGCCCAGGCTGGCCTTGTACTCATGGCATGAGTACTCCTGAGTGCTGAGATTACAGCACTACCATCACATCCAACCACAAATTTTTATCTGATACTACTTTCTAACAGTAAAGCTGTTTTTTAGTGACTAAGCATCTTTCTTAACCTACTCACTGAACTTACCTGTATTTTTCCTTCAACAACCAGAACAAGACAAAGATGTCTACTATTACCCCTCCTCTTCAACATAGTACTCAAAACCCTAGCAAGAGCAATAAGGCAAGTCAAAGAAACAAAAGGGACATGTGTAGTTAGGAAAGAAGTCAAATTATGGTGATTTGGAGATGACATGATCCTCTGGAAAAAGACCCAAACACATCCACCAAAACACTCTTAGAATTAATAATCTAAGAATAATAAATTCAGTAATGTAGCAGCATACAGAACCAGCACACAAAAAGTAATAATATTCCTGTATATGAATACAAATATTCCTCATTTAAGACCTACCTATTTAACAACTGTTCAGACTTACGGCCTGCCACTCCAGAATTAAAACCTGTCTTTTTCCTTTTCTACAGTTTGGTACACCTTGTTTACAGAACTTCCATGTTTTGCTTTGTACAGTACACCTTGTTTACACTGTACTGTAGTTTTTGCTGACTGTACTGTCCAGTACTATAGTTTTACGTTGTTATTCATTACAGTACTGCATGGTAAAGAGTTGTGCAAATAAAAGCAAAGTCATCAAGTTGGGAGTTACCTTTGCCCATTTCTTTGTTCTGAATATTGTAATGTATATACTACGTACAATTCCTCATTTAACAACCAATTCATTAACAACCTAGTCACTGTGTGAACTCAGTCCTTAAACAACGAATGTCTATAATGAACTCACTGAGAAAATTTGGAAAAAAATCTCTAATGCTAAAACACTTTGAAAATTAAATTCTTTTTAAAATAATGACTTTATGCAAAATTCAAGAAACATGCCATATAAAAACCAGAGGCCTCAGTGAACACAGAGCTCCTAATCTGTTTAGTATACAATACTTACGACTACTTCCAAGTTCTTCAAATAGGAACTTTACTTTTTCCCACTCTGTAGAATTTTTGTTATTGGGAACATCCAATGGGACAAAAGCACTAAAATGGAAAAAAATAATTTTGCTTAATGGTTTTACAAAAGAATTCTGAATGAAAAAAAATGATCTGAAACTAAATTTTTTGTTAAAATTTTAAAGCAAAAATCAACTTTCCCTTAAAAGAATAATCTGTATCATGCAGAAAGGTGTGAGATGTTTCTTATCTATATAATCACTTCATCATAAATTTAAGTTTTATTACTGCAGTTAGTAAAATCGGTTTCCTTGCTAACTCCATATATTTCATTTCTTACATTTCATTTGTCAATTACACCTTTGTAGGTTGGTAAAAATAAAACAAAAAATAAAGTAAGTAAAATACTCTGAGAAAGGACTACAGGATTGACATAGTCAAAAAAGTCCATGACACAAGGAAAGGTTAAGAACTTCTGTGCCAAGTAAAAGAATATAAGTATATGCAACCAATTTAATAGATTTATAAGCATTAAAAAGAACAGAGGGTAAATACATTACAATAAATGGTAAATTTCACAGTGTGAACTTATGGGTGTTTTTTTTTTTTTTTTTTACTATTTTCCTATATTGTTCAAGATTTACCCAATAGAAATAATGAAAACAGTATCTAGTTGACAATTGAGACTGTTGAAATAAGACAGAGCTAGCTTCTTAAGATTTGCTCTAACAGCTCAGGTTGGGGAAAACACAAAAGAGAGTAAGTGTGGCTACTTTACTATCTAATCCAGATCAATAAACAAAAAGATAATCAGGACAGTAAGGTAAAGGGCTGAGTATCTTTTAAATTGTGCATGTGGAGAAGCAAACTAGAAGGAAACAAGTAACTTTAAGACTTACTAGCCCAATTATAATTATAAGCAAAGCAGTTAAGATCCAACCACTTTTGTAAAAAAGAAACACTCAGTGGGTTCAACAATATATTAAGGTATCTGTTCTGATAAGGTTTTCAAGTAAAACAATGTAATTATCCTAAAAATTTGATTTTAAATTTAAAAACCATTACGGCTTGTGTAAAGGCAAGCAGAAACACCAAATGATACCCAGGATTTGAAGGCAGACTTAATTATATGAATGGGCATAGATCGGGATCATTCCTAAAATATCAGACCCTGATCTCTAGTGGTCTAGCCCTTAAATGAGATAAGCAAGCAGGAAATACAGAAGCAGAATGGCTTGTCAATTGGGGATTGGCCTATACAATGTGTATCACAGTGAGGACCAGCTGTTTCTAAGACACAGGATCAAGAGGAACTGGAGCGGGAACTATGACCGAAGCAAATGAAGTACACTGGCTGGGGGGCATTTTCTAGTACATTTTCCCCCCTCTTTTAGTTTCCCCAGCAAATCTTTGCTAGGTATATTACATGTCATCTTCTGAGACAAGTCCCAACTAGAAGCAGTAACATTAGGTTTGTCAGTGATCCCAGGATGAACCCTAGCCAAGGTCCCCAAGATTTTCTTATTACAGTTTTCCCCTAAGTTGCTTTTAGGAAGAGATATAATTTAGGCCTGTCTGTTCTGTGACATTACTCTGGCAAGGTAGTGAGGGGGTTAATCTGATCTAGGAGAGTGTCCAGTGTGCCTTGGATGCTCATCAAATCTTGGTCAAGTGTTTGATTGTTCTATTCTGTTGGGGCAACTGTCCGTAGAGTTTAAGGCAAAAATCACAGTTAGCAGGAGGGCAGGGAAGCAAGGACCGGGGTTAGCAGCACAAAAATCAAGGGGAATAGGTATGGAGGGATCCTGTGAACAGTGTCCTCTAGCTTCAGCTGTGTGTGGACTGGTCAGCATCCAGAGTTAACAGAGCAGGGCTCTGTGTGCATAGTCTCTTCACAGTGAGCCCTGGAGGAGCTGTCCAAGTAAACTCTTCACCAATCTCCTGGATGGGCTCTTTTAACTCTAAAATGGTAGATGTTAGCTGGTATCTTGGTTACATTTCTCTCATTGCTGGGACAAAATACCCAACGCCCAAAATTAAGGAAGGAAAGGCTTATATAGCTCACAGTTTGTGGAGGTTTTAGCCCATACTTGGCTGGCTCTAAGGCAGACTGGCACATGGCAGAGGGCAACAGTTCATGGCGGCAGAAAACAACAAAAGCAGCAAGAGCACAAGGGATGAACAGCAGAGAGCAGGATCTTTCCCTCCCTATACTGCGTGCAGACTACCTGCCCCAGGGAGGGTGTAGCACTCATACCCATAACATTGGACCATGGATCAATCAAAAACTCTAGAAATCCACCCCATAACTGCATGAGGCTTTGGGGGGATATCCAGACACAAACCATAACAGCTGGATTTCTGAAACTTTAAGACCTGTTGATATATTCTGTGCAGGGGTGTCTTCAAGTACAGCTGCTCAGCTAGCTAAACTGGTTACAAGTTGTTCCTGTAGGGAACTGTTTTGAACTTCATGGCTTGTATGCTGTATGTAATTTTTACTTAATCTTTAATAGTTGTATTAGTTTTTGAATCATCTCTGCTACAAATACAGATTATTGCTGCCAATAATCAAGGGTAGGCTATATGTAGGGATGATTTCTCACAGCATGACCGTATAAACTTATGTTGTGTTGGCCAGCCTGGGTAGGTGCAGATGAGCACTAATATATGCCCAGTGGAGGTCAGGGTTGGTGTCACAGACACTGAAGCCTGAGCTGGCTGTAGGGGTACACGTGCCAGCACTGCAGCTTGAGGTTGCAGAACAAATGGTGGGGGCAGGACTGGCTCTGATCTTCTAGGAATGTCAAGTAAAGTTTTTCTGGCTGAGGTTGATGTTTCAGTGAATCAGATTCCCAGTGGGGGGCAGGTTAGGAGCATAGGTTTGATGTTGTTGGTGGCAGGTAGCAGTAGCAGGAGAGCTTTGGCCAAAATAACTTTGTCCAAGGTGACCACAGCGTATCTAGCCTGTTGGATTTCATTTCTAACAGAGCCTCTTCCACTCATAAACAAGGTGTACTCAGCATCTGTCAGGGGGGTCCATTTTTAGGCCCAGTACACCATGTAATACCTGGACAGTTAGGTCTCGGCTCAAGGTGAGCTTGTCAGTTTTCTCGGTTGTAAGGACAGTGGCTATTACAGCATGAAGCCCAAGTGGGGAGGCAGCCCTGGATCTAAGTATTTGCACAGGTAGGCCACTGGGCACTCCCAGAGGCTGACAGTCTGAGTAAGCATCATTGTTTTTGTGAACTCAAGGAGGCAGATTCCATAGAAGCCAGCAGCTCCAAGAAATTTTTGGAGTTTCTTTCTTATAATCAGTTTCTGGCAGATATTATAACAGAGCTTTTGTGCCTTTCAAGCAGGCAACTTGGTTATCATTAATCAGCTGCGAAACTAGTGAAACAAGTTTGTGAACCTCTGGGAGGCTGAGTTCAGGTTAGTTGACTTTTGAGTTTACAGTTGGGGTCTTTTCATTTAAAGATGAAGAGGGGCTGACAGGAGCCAATCGAAGGCAGAATAAGGCATTCTTTAGGTCCAGGCAGTATACCAGCAGGCTGTGGCTGGCAGAAGACTGAGGCAATATATATGTAGGGCAACCATGGCAGCAATGTCAGCTTGAGATCCTGAACTAGCTTTACAGGTAGGAGAGGTGTGCTTTAGCAGTTTGACAGTCTATAGTGTTTACTTGGGGGACCATGATGAAGCTGAAGAGACAGAGAAACAGGTTGTATCAGAGAGAAGGTGTTGGTGTCTTGGTCAAATCTGTTGTCCAAACCTCCCTGAAAATAGTGGGACAGTTCTTAACATATTATGGCAATTGAGTCCAAGGGAGCTGGCCTTTTGTCTCAGGATTTTCCCAGCTGAAGGAGCTTATAGGAGCAGCTCACAGAGGAAGGCATCTTTTACATCTAAAGCAGTCCAAAAAGTGTGTATGAGTCAGAAACCAGAGTGCAAGGTGATGGCTGCATTGATGATGGCATGGAGATACTGTCCAAGGTGATTATTAACGGTCTATCAGGCTAATGTGTGGCTGGATGCCTGCTTGTGCTTCCTGTGACATCTGACAGCAGCAGGGGTCAAGGTGAGGTGGCAGGGTTAATGGTCAGGCCCAGAGGTGAGTCTTTAGTTCATACCTCTGGGAGGAGAGTTTTCAGAATTTCAGGATTGCATTTATCTGTCTCAGGCTGATGCGGGCATCATCTTCCTCTTGGGGAACAGTCAAAGTTGAAAGTGGAGAGTTAAATGGGAGAAAGGCTGACTGGCTTGGTGCAAAGGAGATGATCACTTTCAACTTGAATAGGAGGTCTCTTCCAAGAAGTGGTACAGGGACTGGCTTATACAGAAATTGGTGAGATGTCCTCCCAGGCTGCAAGTTTCTGCCTAGCAGAAGGGGTGAGAGGCAAGAGTCCCAGCTGCCCCAGTGATGGTAACGTTTAGTCAGAGGGAACTTTTGAAGGCAGAGAGTTCTGGTTCTAGGAAAGTCACAGGTTTGTCCTTAACTTTTGCAATGACCACAGGTTCTTGGGGGCTCAATTTGATAGACCTAGAGCTGTCCTATCCACCCAGGTCTGACAAGGCAAGAAGTTCAGGTTGAGGGGGCCTGGACAGTCAGGCTTTTTTGCAGATGGAGGTGGCATTTGTTTTTTGTCCATAGCCCTTATAACTCAAGCCAGTGGGTTTGATTGTGTATTGGACAAGATTTTCTTATGGACATCAGATGTTTTTCTTTTATCAAGTTTCTGGGTAAGTAGTTGATGGGCTTTATCCCTCCCTTTTTGAAGTCTTTGAGAAGCACTTGACTAGTTTGTTTCTGGGGAAGGTGACCTTTGGAAAGGTCATGGAAACTGTTCATTGGGGCTGACAGTCCAATTTTTCCTTGGTCAGAATGTGGAACTCAGAAGGAATTGCTGATAGCTAGTCAGGTGAGGATTAGATGATGCCATCTGACCAGGGTAGGCATACAAGGATAGACACGGAACAGAAGTTTTGGAGGGTGGGCCTCTGTGGCTGAGTGCAGGCAATGGCTAGCTGGAACCAGTTCAATTGGCTGGAAGTAGATGAGTCGGGAATGGGGTGTGAAGCTATAG